ATGACAGAAAAACGAGTTCCTATGAAGCCGCATTCAAGTTGTCGATTTGATAACATTCGGTGCATTATAAACCGGCACTACTGTGATGTCATTTTAATTCACCTGAAGCCGCAAATGAACGTCTATGCGCAAGAACTCCCGTGAGTTAATTTGACTGTCGATAAAATTCAAATTACCTTGCGCGAATTATAATAATAATTAGAGCAATGTGAGATTCTGAATCTGACGTAAAAGAGTGGACCTAGACTCTCGAAACGTAGCGCATTGAGGAGAAAGTTCGACCTTATCAATACAAACGCTTCTGTACCTTACAATAGTGTACTGTGTAGAAAGTTAAAATGGGAACTGTAAGCTGGAATGCTCCCCCATCTCGTAGCTGGCTGCGAGCTACGTCTATGACCCAAGTGTGTTGCTCAGAATTGGTGCAATCTTCCCCTACCTTAACGAAAACAAAATCTGCATTTTATACGGCTATGTGGTTTTACAGCCGGTATAGTCTTGCAAATATCAACTGTAAAAGACAGGAATGAAGGCAAAATGAAGACAAGAGCAACTCGTCCATACCACCGCATGATTTTACTTTGAAGTCGTGTTTTTATGCAATAAAAATCCGTACTTAGTATTTAGAAAATAACACCCATCAAACTATACGAAAGTCGAAAAAACACTTATCGTAGAGCTGGAGGAGCTGCAAACTCCAACATCCTGCTCCGCATCAACTGGTCCATCTTGCATATTGCGCTAACCGAGGGTAATTTCATTCGAGCTCTCTTCTTACCCACTTTCACAGTTGCCCCGCTTTTCACTACGCTCAGAAGCGCTATCTTGGCTTCAACTGGAAACTGAAGTGAAGGCTCGATGGATTCCAGATGAAACTTCGTGAAGTTTCTCTCATAGGAGGCATAGATAGGTGGTACGATCACCTCCACTCGCTCAAAAAAAAACGATTAACCGAAGCATCTGCAAAGCGCATCTAGACCTGCTTCATACCGTGAGGCGTCAAATTCAGTAGGGGCGCCCCAGAGCGCTACAAAACCAAATTGAGCCTGGCGTAGACACTTAGAGCTCAGACTTTCTGGATCCATTAATTTTCTAGCAAATGTGTGGAAACGTCTTGCCAATTAAGCGATACAACTGGGAGTTGGCATCGCCATGACTGGCTCGATAATCTTCGAAGTCAATGCATGCTTCCACAACGGATCCATTGAACCTCAACTCAAGGAGATTGGGGCAGCTCAGGAGAAACAACTTATCTCCACGGAGCTCTCGATGCCCTTTTAAGGACAAGACCTTGAACGCAGTCCTCACTGTCGCTAACAAAATGGGTAAGCCATCTGCAACTTCACTGTCTCTGGAGAATATAACTTTAAGAGACGTTATCGTACTTATAGTACCCAGTAACTCGGAGGCGAATTCAACATATTTGCGTCGAACTTGACACCTCCCATAACCAGGAGCCATTGCATTGATTCACTCACTTTCTCCATCGTCGCTGAATGTCCGAACCAACGGTATAGACGAGATCAATATTAAGAGACTAGAGTCTCCAATGTGCTAGCCCTGTTCATTTCATTTAACTGCCAACGAATCAGAGCACGACTGCTTAACGTTCCTTCTCTTTCATCAACGGAACCTAGAGGACTCCCAATAAGAAGCTCTTCTGGATGAGGAGACGATATGACAGCAGCAAAGTTGTCGATGTCGTCGACACTCAAGTGCTCTGAAGGATCTATAGCAAAGTGTTCTATAATGAAGTGCCTGCGAGCAGATTTAGAGAAAACGGCATATGCCAGCCAGCCCCTCCAGTGTGCTTACTCGGTTGTTGTCTGGTTCGACAATTAAACCAACTGAAACGTTCTTAGTCATGTGATTTACTGCGAGGGCGGAACACATGGAATCGAATTAAGCCAAGAGCAATGTACGGTCAGTACATGCCGGCTGAACCCTTTTAAGCTGTGTCACGGTGTACAGTTAGATGGTGGATTAACGATGCTGGCTGTCTACCTGCAGAAGGTCTACTTGATACAGACTCTCCGGACCACGTCCAAGCAAGCGGGACCTGCAGCCAAGTCAGTGACGTTTCAAGTATGAGGGCAAGAAGCAGCTGGTCGTGGCGAGAACTGGAGCTGGACCACCACACACGAGGGAGCTGCTGAAAGGTAAGGAGTTTTTAAAAATCTTAGCGAGGTGGAGTGAGAAGTTCAGTCGTGATTTTTCCTTCTAGCAAAGAACAGAAGAATAAATCAACTTTTACATTACTATATTAGTAGTGTCGCTATTACTACCACCTCCAACGTCGGCCCCAGATACACGACCCCAATTAGAGGAAGACCGCGACAATTTAATGGAGAAGCAGAGTATCTTCGAGCCGAATATCGTAGAAGTACAAGCGCGAGAAGATGTCTTGGCAGCGGAGCGCCAAGGGAGAAGGAGAAAGGAGTGAGAAGAGAATAAGCGCTCATGGATGGTCCGGCGAAGAACTTGAAGCCAGTGAAAGGTTAGGGAGATGGGGCCCTCCGTTGGAAACGGAGTCCGTGGATATCCTCGATGAGGGAGAGAAATGCGCGCTGATAGAGCTGCTGGCGACGACCCGCCACAGCCTCAGAAAGGGAGCGCCAGGGAGATGGCGAGGAACGTGGCACGCCGCAACAAGCTGATCCCGAGACGGGAGAGTACGAGGCACGAACGGTCCTCGTGGAAGGCGAGGCTTGTTTGGAAGTGCGACTCCGTCTCCGAGAACAAGGAACACGGTCGAGTCTGTGCCTGGGACGCCTCTTGGTGGACAGATGTCCAACACGGTTCTTGAGCAGTGGTCTCGCCAACCGGCGCCCAGCGAAGGAGCAACACCTGCAAGGATGACGACGGGTACGCCCTTGGAAGCTTCTCGGGAGGTCGTCGCGAGGTGGGGTTCGCCTTAGATCGGACTCGAACCTCGTTACAACCGATGGACAACGCTGGAGGAGACGTGCGAACGGTCACGTCAGCGTACGGCCGACCCAGTGACAGCGTACCGAGCCAACAAGGAAGCCGACGAGCCCTAGGGACTGCACCAGATGCTGCTGGGGCACCAGACAAAGGCTGGCGTACCTAGTGGGAGTCGAGGAACGACGCCTGTTCAATCAATGAGAACGTCCACGAGAGGAAGTGGAACACCGACGACGGACTTAGCCTTACATGCTCTCATTATGGACAGTATCGCCCAAATGCTACAGAGGGCTTCGATGACGAACGAAACGCCGGTGCCGTCACCAAGACCCTCAAGCTACGGGACATGTGACACGTACCGCGTCGACGCCGACCAGACCACTGACGTCTCAAACGATTAAGTACCAAGGGCCTATGACCCCAAGAATGAAGACGCAAACGCTGGTTTCGACACCTACCCGAATGCCGATGGCTGCCATTGCCTCGTATGGAGGCGTGTCAATTCAAGTGCCTGGTTCCACGTAGAGCGGTCGAGGTAGTGGAACGCCTCAAAGGAGTGCGTTCTACTCTCTCTCTTACAACCGCCGATGACGTCGACGTCTGGATGGGCTGCTGCTGGAACAATACCCGCGTGGTTCGCTACTTCTGCGCAACAGACACCTGACAGCTCCAGAAGCGGTACGCACGGTTTGCCGTTCCAGATAACATCACCAATAAATGGTACGACGTTCCAGGGACAAGCACGGTCTCTAGGAAAAGAAGGGAACTTCAGTGCTCCAGGAGGAAGGAACGCTGCTAACGCGGTACTTTCGCAAGGGCAAGTGACGAGTCCGTACTACGACCAAAGTGTCCGCAATGGCTCGTACGGGTCTGAGAGAGGTACGTTCCGATTGTTGGTATCCCGACGGAATTGCGGAACGCTGTGAAGGTCAGCTTTCCGTTCTACTCTGAGACGGCCACGTACGAAAGGGCGGCCGCGTTCTGGCGTTCCTTCGAGAAGCGTATGCTCGGTATGGACGACCAAATGCGGTTGACAGCCTTTATACAGTGCATTAAGGGAAAGTTGGCTCAAGAATGGTGGTACAATGCGAGGATTAACGACTTCGAAACTCTGCGAATGAGATTCTTTAACCGCTTCATCTTTCATATGCAGGCTCAGTTGTGAAACAGACTTAAGGCCGCAAAGAGGAACTATGGCGAATCGGCTTAGAGTGGGGAGACAGGATCATCACGATGTGCGAGTACCTGAACTTTCACGAACCACGTATGCAATACGAGTCCTTCCTCGATGGGCTAAGGAACAAGCAGATGCGGGTCGTTTTGAATGCGAACTTGACTGCGTCGATTCAGGAAGCGTGCGCTCTACTGCTGTACAAGAATCGGCACCTCCCTGTGGGAGAAGAGGACGAGTTTGCGAATAGTGGAGCGACGCTGAATAACGTGAGCGCGGTGACGTCCGCACAGTCGCAGATGCTCCAGCAGCTTCAACAAATGAACCAGTTGATGCTGAAACAGCAGCAGGATCCTGGCACGTCACAAGGGCACATTGGCGCTGTGGCACCCACGAATGCTCCAAGTTCTGGCGTTCCAACTCAGAACGGGAACGTGGATGGCGCACCGCTCGGACCTCTTCGCATTTGATTAAGGCCTGACACGCGTACCACCAAAGGAGAAGTGGTTTGCGGGCGCTGTGGGCGTGTTGGATGTGGTCGTCATCAGCAGCAAGTGTCTTCGGCACCAGACTTAGTAGCTGTAGTGGGAAGTATATTGGTCCATAAAGAAATCAAGTGAATTTACCGAGCACGCGAATCAGTCTCCTCCTTCTCCTCCACACACACAATATTTTTGGTCTAAATTCGCCTGACAGTACACAAACTAAAAGACGCACATTTACAATGTTCGATTGCTCACGTAATTGAAATTAGAAATCGTCAATTGGCCAAATATACAGTACTGTAGAAGCGATAGAAAAGGAACTGCATACATGTTTCTCTTTTCACGTCTTTAATTGGATGAAAAGAGTGGAATGGCGTCCATCCGTCCATTATTGAACAGTTAGTTACGAACTTGTAACAATGAGCGGCACGGAGAGCATCTTACTGGCGGTGGCGCACGAGCACTCGAAACAGTTTGCGGAGGGTACGATCAAGTCGCCATGGGACTATTTCGAGTACAGTGTCAAGTTGGCGCTAGCTCGCTGGACGGCGCTGCGTATGGCCGTCGAAGGTGAATGGGGTGGAGGTGACACTCGCCGCAAGTACGAGATCCTGCTTGAGGAAATTCTCAACGTCTATAAGTATAACAAGGCAGTATACGCTGACGCTATGGCTGATAACATCGGCGGCTACGTGGAGACGGAATTCGGGCTCATCTGCGAGGATGGCAGCGTCGAAGAGATCGCCGAGTTTCTAACGGTGCTGGCGGACGAGTGCAAAAATGCAAAGTACGATCGCGTGAAGGCCATGCACGACCAGGTGCAGTCGCTCATCCCCATCGACCTCAAGGCTGCCAAGATCAAGACGCAGGACGACGGCGTTGGCGTAGCCGAGAGCAGCGCACAGCCGCTTGGAGCTATCAACGAGGAACCGGGCGAGCCTGAAGTCGACGACGATGGCTTCACTACAGTTCGCCGCTCTGGACGGCGAAAGGCGCCCACCAAGTTCTACGACCCAGCAGCTGAGTTCCCCGGAGCGTCATAAAAACTTGAACTTGTGCCATAAAAATCAAAATTTGTTTTTTGCATGCAACGACCTTCATTCTCTGTTGCAACTTCAAACATTCATTCTCTGTTGCCATTTTTCGTGTTTTACTCAAAATCCGCAAACATGTCGTCTTCCTCCTCCATCGCCTCCACCTGTGACGACAACGAGGCTGCAGCCAAGTTGACGTCCACTTCTTCCTCTCCGTGTAGAAAGGCACGCGCCTCAGCAGGCGAGACGTCGACACTCGGGTCTTCCGTCGAGCTGATCAACCCGATGTCCGCATCCTTGACAGTCTTCCACGCTTCGGAATCTTCCGACAAAACCGTCTTCAATTTTGTCAAAAACTCATTAAATTGAGTCGAATATTGAATTTCCGGACTGCGTTTCCGAAAGTGACTCAAACACTGCATTGCTTTGGGAAAGAATTCCGAGCCACTTTGACTCAACAACTTCTCGATTTGCGTCTCCATGCCAGTAACCGCAGTCGTGAGTTGCTGTCTACGACTCAATTTTGACTGCGAAGACTCAATTAACGCCTCAAAATCAGCAATAGGGTTCATAGACCCCACACTGGTCACATCCCCGCTGTCCAAAAGATCGTCCAAATCCAATTCCAAGTCGGAACCGGCATCTCCTGTCGCCTCCTCGTTCTCTTCTTTAAGATCTTCTTCTTTAATCGACGCAGTGGGGACGTCACTCCAGAACGATTTCTTCTTCCGGTCTTTGGCTTTCTTGACTGCTTCCTTCAACTGGAACGCGTCTCCGAAACTCTCAATAAGACTCGAGATCTTCTCTTGTCGCCCACTGTCCATCTTCAAACTCGACTCCAGATACGACGGTAAGGCCGGAACTCCAGCCGATTCGTCCAACGCTCGCATGGACACAGCATGGAAGAAACGTCGGATCACGGGGTTGAAACACGCACCCACTTCGTCGGCCTTGTCGTCTCGGATACTCAGACTATCCACCAGTTTATCTGCCAGCGCCTGTTGTTCACTCGAAGGAGTATACTTGCGTGTCTTCAATGGAGCGAACTCGTAGTTGCGTACGTCTTCTTCGTATGGCAATTGCTGAGCCCACATCGCGTAGAAATTCTCACCAGACGACGGTGCGTGGGGGATCAAGGCCACAATCTTAGGAGCAGCATTCTTCCGAGGGACGAAGCGAGCAATAATCACTTGATCCAGCTCCACCATCGCGTCGATTAACGCTGCAAAGCACGTGGCTGCATGAGGTTTGCCCGGCTCGGCAATGAAGACATCCGTGCCAGCTATAAACTTCGAGTGGTTGAGCTGAGACCGGTCTAGAAACCCCAAAGCTTTCAAGGATTTCTCCGTCTGGAACTTGAAGAACTCGATATCTGCAGAAGCGAACGGGACTTTCTCCGAGCCGTAGCGATACGCCTTCACTTGTTCATCCGGAGGAACTTCTTGGTCGACGTTCTGAGGCGACGTATAGCGTCGATCGAGCTTTACTTTCCCGGCTGTCTCCTTTTCGTAAGAGTTCTGAGACTCCTTCGACAGCGTCGGTAACGTGGCTGTCTTGGTCTTCAAGTAGCAGTACAGAGGGATTGCCAACGTGTCTCCGAACTCCAAAGGACCTCGGAACTTGGTCGTCAAAGCCACAGTCTTCTTCATGCCCTGAGCCAGTAGCTGCATGCGCTTGGACACAGAACTCACTTCGCCGCCTACTTCGTTCGCAATAGAAACTAGCATTTTCTCATTTTCAGCCTGTCATAAAACGAAGTTAACAATTAAAAAAGTAAAAGACTACAGTACTTGAAATAATTTACACAGCCTACCTTGACTCTGTCTGGTCCACTGGTAGCTAGCTCCATCGGCTCGTCTTTAACAGAAGTCTCAGCCATCTCGTCCGCTTTCTTGGCTGTCGTAGTGTGCTGGAAGTCCAGACCGCTGGAAATGACCCAATATACTACGTCAGAATCCGCTCCATTGGTGGATATTACGTGCTGTACTCACATGACTTGGAGCTGCACTTCCATGTTCTGCATCATCGTCACGACTGACTCGAGATCTCCTGCGTCCGCAATCTTCGCAGCTGCGTCGGTGATGATCAGCAGGCGTTTGTCGTATTTCTTGCCGTCCGTCCGACGGAACAACAAGTCCAAGGCCACAATTATCCCGTCCAGAATATCCACCTACCAAGCCACAGCAAATTAAAGCTGATGGTCTATCTCCAGTCTTCAAGAATCAGTGCAAAACCTTCGTTTCTTCGCTTTTGGATGGCTTGAGCTCCCGCAGTCTCTTGATCATGTGCAGAGTTGGCGAGTCGATCGAGTTCACCACCTGCACGTTCCGATACTCGCCTTGTCCCTGCTCCTCATTCAGTTGATTATCGGTATCTGTAACATTAAATCAGTATACCGCTTGTTAGGCTTCACGACGGTAGAATTTGTACCCATACCTTCCGATCCGTAGGCGACGATGCCCACTTCGTCCTTGGGCTTGAAGAAAAGCTGTAATAACACATGATAGTGCATTAGAATAATAAACATTTAGAGTTTACTACCACAGCGAAGAACCTTTTGTTGGACAACGTTCTCTACGGCTGCCAAGGCTGCCGCAAAGCGCGTGTGCTGCAGGTCGTTGTCTGTATCTTGTCGGTTCTTGTCACTAACAGAGACGCGCTCGCGTAGTGGCGCACGCATGGAGGCGCCCACGTCCAGTAGCACAAGGACAGCTTCCTGTATAGCAGCAATACAGCGTGTCAGACCCAAGCTGCATCAGCCACCGACCGGCACGAGCACGCACACCTTCGTTCGAGACATCTTCAAATGGATTTAAAATGACTCGATTGTAATTTCTGAGAAATAAATTGCTCAGACCTATTTTATTGTCAAAATGTTTTCAGCATTATTTAATTCATAAAGCACCATTATACTAAGGTGCAAATGATTTTCTCTCTCTCAGATGAGCTCGCTCAATTCAGAGAATATGGCGCGCTCGCCACCAAAGATCGTTTAAGACGCTTATCGGCTATCATACTGGATGGCTTCCTTCGACACGCGTCAAAAACACAAAATCGTTCTCAAATTAGAAAACAACGAGCTCGAGAGTTTGGAACTCATTCGGGAGGGGTTTACCTTATTGGCAGCGGTGGATCATGTCGATCACACTACAGCCAAATATCTCTTAGGTAATAAATGCAAAGTGGGGACCCCACTGGGGGCGGGTGTCTTCGGAGAAAGAGTGAATCATTTTTTGTCAATTAGTTTCTTACTTGTTAGAGACTTTGATGGGTTTCAGCTGGTGGAGTTGTGTGGAACAAGGCAGCGGAAACACCCACGCACAGAGTATGTAGCAGCAATCAAGAAGGTGCGTCTCTTGATAGCAACTTGGAGCAAGACGGGCCGGGTGTTGGTCTCCAAGTTCCTACCCGGGTGAATTTCTACACTGGGCTAGACAACGAAAACAAAACTGACGAATTTAAGGACATTGTAGCAGCTGAAAAACAGATTCGAGAGCAGTGGCAAACCTACGAAAGACGCAACCAGCAAAAAGACGTGAGTTCCGGCTCCCTACAGTGCACGCTGGTGCTTGAACCTATGTCGGCAGAATTCGACGGTAAGGCTAGTTCGACATTGGTGGGCACGATTATTCGTGCGATTGAAAACAATGTGCTGCTCACCAATCTTTCCCTGGACGTGTACTTTAACATGTCAAGACAAGGGGCATTCAAAAACATTTTGGCCGATTACGGGTTGCTATCTTCAACACGTCCCGACTAAGTCTGGGGACATACAACAGCAAGTACTATTTGCCGCCTGATGTTTCGAACCCTCTCCAGCTTAAAAGGGTTCAGCTGACATGTTATGACTGACCGTACATTGCCCTTGGCTCGCCCATGTGTTCCGCCCTCGCTGTAATCACATGACTAAGAACTTTTCGGTCGGTCTAATTGTCGAGCCAGACAACAACCGAGTAAGCACACACTGGTGGAGATCTCTAAACATGCTCGCAGGCACTCCATTCTAGAACACTTGGCTCTAGATTCTGCGGAGCACTTGAGTGTCGAAGTCATCGACAACTTTGCTGCTGTCGTATCGTCCCCTCATCCAGAAGAACTTCTTATCGGGAGTCCTCGCGGTTCGGTTGATGAAAGAGACGGAGCGTTAAACAGTCGTGCTCCGATTCGTTGGCAGTTTGATGAACAGGGCCAGCACATTGAAGACTCTACAAACGGGGCAACTGCCAAAGTGGGTACGAAGAGAGCCGTGAGAAATTGCCCGCTTTAAGCAAGTTGATGTGAGCAGGATTTTGGAGTTTGCAGCTCCTCCGGTTCTACGACAAGTGATTTTTTCGTTCCAGAAAGCCTTTCGTTTAGTTTGATAGGTCTTATTTTCTAAATACTAAGTACGTTTTTTTTTGAAAAGCGCAGAACTACCTGCACGACTTCAAAGTAAAATCATGCGGTGATATGGACGAGTTGCTCTTGTCTTTATTTTGCCTTTATTCCTGTCGTTTACAGTTGATGAATGCAAGACTATACCGGCAGTAAACCCGCCTTGCTTCAAAAGCTCGTGCATGTTAACCCCTAACAGAAGTGCGCTGCTTCAGAAGTACCGTGAAGAGATTTGTTGCATACTTCGAAGTTGGTGGCGTTGATCTTCTTCTGCACCTCTAGCATAACAGTAGATGAAGCAACGGGAGCATGACATCCCGACGGCCCATCAGGAGCGGGGATGTAATGGCACAAACGCTTACGTGTCCCTTTCACCAATCGCGCAACGAATCCACATTTCTAACAACCTGCTCAAGTGTTTCGAGGCGGTTCCTCACAAAACCTTCGTCCGTTGAAATACATTCTCGCGCCACGTTACCAAACAGGTAAATACGATCCTTAATCACAGCTCGAGTAATCACGTCTATCCCGCGATGTCTATCGTCGGCAAACAATTCATTCGCGTCCCACAGCGGCATGTACAACGTCTTATGAATTTCATCTTTCTTGCGCGTATGGAGCCATTCATCATTAATACTAGTGGAACACACCATTTTCGTAGGGTATGGTGGGGGCACCAATGGAGCGCCATCGTATAGCGAGTTCCGGCTGTTGCTGATACTATTCGAACGGAGGGAGGTTCCTAGAGTTCGCAATAGTTTCTCCGTCTTGGAACGCTATGACATGCTCCTGCTTGGATTCATTCGAGAAGACGCTGTTACGAATGTGAAATTATTGTACTGCTCGTCACGTTTGAAGTGATTGAAAAGGTATCCATAGAAGATAGATATACCAATCCCTGCAATTCCGAAGGATTAGTTTGAACACCACTTAAAATGACCATTGTTACTCCCTAAGCAATCAGCGGAAATTGGACTTACCTGGCGTCCCTGTGACAGTAACAACACTTTTGTTCTGCGCGAAAAGCTCGCGTAAAATCAGCTGATAGTAATTTGAATAACATTCACGCACGTAAAACATCTTTGAAATGCCGTGGTGCTGCAAGGGCAAATTCAGGCGGAGGTCTTCTGCGTGAGCCTCCATTGTGTACGCGGGGGCTTCCTTGACGCTGGCATGACTGTGAGCTGCCGGCTCCTAAATATTCGTCTCGCTGGCTTGCTCCATTTATCCAAATAGCGAGATGGTATACAGCCATCAAGTTTCCAACAATAAAATGCTGGATCCATTGAAACTATTTATTGAAAATATTCACTAGAGCGATATAATTGATCTAAAATACAACAAAGCATCCATTAACAGGTAAATTGCGAGTTTGAAGTGTATCGACGCAGGCAGTTGGTCGCAAATCTCACGTACTTCTCGTTGGTACTCATTAATATCAATCGGCCTCCCGTAAAATATGAAACAGTTCTGATATGATTATACTGGAGTTTCAACAATTTTTTTTTAAAAAAGTGCTCTTCGTAGACGCAATAAGCTGCTGCGAAAAGACTTTTTTTATCCGATTTGCTACTTCAGTAATAAACTGTGGCAAATCACATAAAATCTTTTCGTCAATCATTAACAAATAGATTTAATATTCCTTATTGTTTTTTTTAAGACGGAATACATGCAACGGATTACTTCAGTATTGTTTCCTGTAATAGCAGTTCAGTGTTATACATATTTTCCGGGCCTGCTGAAAGTGGGTGATCCCAATGACGAGGACACGCCAGAATGTAAAGAGGCCTCTCAGGCAGAATCTTGCCGACGGGCTGTACTCTCAATTAATTATTCACTTCTCGCTGCCTTGTACTAATCGAACATTTCTATTAGAGAACTGTTTCTGGAATAATGCAAGGCTCGGAATAACGAGTATCTGGATGAAATCTGAGTAAATGATGGATAGATTAGCGATCGATATCCCGATACTTTATTCCAATGGAATAACGCGATTCCACTGGAATATATTTCTGGACGAAGAAAATTTTTATTTCAAAGCCTGAGTTATTAAAGTTCTCTATTATCCTGCAAAGGGAACATTATCTAATTGTTGAGTTCATTTACGTAGTTTTTAATAACATATTATGTGCAAAGTTATCACAGTGATAAACCTTCATTTTTAGACTTTAACACTTACTGAGAGTCGACTATTTTGTATCTGCACTCGATGATCCATCAAAGTGCACTCGAAAAACATTTCTGCCCAGCCAGAATTCCTGCAATTACACGTAATGAACATATAAGAAAATAACTTTTTACGACTTGCTGTCTCGTTACTTTTTGCTTATGTGATTCTTTAAAGACCCATAAGATCAGTTGACCCCCCCCCCCAACACCCAAATTATTGATACGAATTCAACTCAAGCTAAGAAATGATTCCTGTTGAATTCGATATTACTATGGTTGTACCAGGAGTCGGCATCGCTCACAAACTCCCATCCAGCTACAGCATCAATCGTTTCAAACTCTTACGACATGGGGGCCCAGTAATCCATTTCGCCTGATTTTGCGGTGCACCTCTTCAAAGCACTCCAACACTTCACCTTCGCGCACTTGAGTGTTGTACTAATTATCTGCGACCTGGGGACGTCCGACTTCATTCCCACCAACCGGTTCACTTAGTTCCAGCATACTAGAGAGCGAAATGAACTGCTCAAGGGCAACAGCTTGGAGGCGACGGTCACTCAGTTCTTTTGCAGTCACCAAGAGTTTTTCAAAAAAATCGATCTGCAATGTTGGTTGCATCTGACCTTTTAGGTGCTCCATCACCATCATCGACGTAACACATGATCTCCATGATAGTAAATTTAGATACTCTTGGGCGTCGCTAGAATTGACCACTCCCATCATCCGAACGTTGTCGATGTAATCTGCAGTACATTGACCTCGACCTACCAATAAATTTGCATCCTCGCTTGTTACGCGACGCAAAGACCAGCTTAAGCAACGTTCAGCAACATTTATTGGCAGCAGGAACTGCCGGATACTCCCACCCGACACAAAAAACCTCCTGGCGAAGCTGCTCTCGTTCCGATATTTCATCTTTAGGCTCATATCTTCCAAGTCAATCTGCTTCCAATACGGTAACAAACACAACAATTGTTTGTCGCCACCTTCCCCTTTCGGTGTAAACTGCAATGACGTTGCTAACAATGTGTAATAGTTCTGGTAGCCACTCTCGTAGATTTCGTCTTGGGTTAAACCGTTAAGACAGAACCAACAGCGCGTCGTGTCAAAGCCGTTACCTGACCTGTGTAATGTTTCGTATGTCTTCCCTAATTCTCCCATTTAGCTGTCCCATTCGTAATACACACCTTCGTAAAACAAACGTGTGACCGGTTTTATGTTTCCGCCATTATCACGACGGTACCACACAGCCGGCAC